GGTAAATCTGTGTACAGAGGAGACAAAGAGATAAAAGCAAAAGAGAGCAAATGAAAAATGGCAGAAACGAATTGCATTCTCCCATATAAATCTATCGGTAGCGGACAGCGCCGAATCGACGGGAGCGGAAACGAAGAGAACTACTCCTGGTATTTTCGCGCGAAGGACAGAAACGAACTGCGGAATGGAGTAAACTCGACGATTCTATCTCGGACGTATCTCGTTCCGTGACTTACTGTCAGGTGGCGGTGTTCGTTTTAATTCGAACGCCACGCTCGATCCTGACGCTCGATAAGCTGCGCCTCTAATAAAGAGCGATAGCGCCGTAAGGCCCAGAGAGAGGCATCGTAAGGGCGCGATTAAACTTCTTTCAGGGGCTTTAATGCGTTGCGTGAAAAATTTTACGTGCGCTTTTATCACGAGAAAATCACATAGCGGACAGAGGCCATCCATCGATTTCACGTAATAAACACAGTGGGACAAACGAGGGACCCATCCGTGCTATCTGAGACAGCGTGCGCGATGCATTTCGACGGCATGACGTAGGTGTAACGTGGCTGACCCGTTTCCTGCGGAAAACGAAAGCGCCGGAAAGCGGTTCGACTGACATTTAAATTAGACCGACACACGCGGGTTGAGACGACAGCGCTGCGGCGCTGCGAATAAATACAGCATCGCACGTGTCTGTTCTGGAAAGTTTGAATTTAGGTACCGAGCGACCGACCGAGTGTTTTTCCAAATTCGATAGTAATTTTTAATCGATCCGGCCTTACGTAAAGGGTAAAAAATTGTATAATTACAACGCAACACTGCTAAGTCAAATAAAATTTTTCAGGAATAAAAAAAAAAAGTTCTTTTCGTAAACCAACCTGTCGCTTCTTAAAGGCAAGAGCAATTTTCAAAATCAATAAATCTTTTTTTCAAAATCGAAAATAGCGAATTCCTACATTTACCAGTCTGCGTGCTAACTGATGTGTCACTCTTTTTTTCTAATGGTCCATATCTCTCTGTAAATGGCATAACCACTTTTTGAGATCGAGTGCACTTTGAAAATGCAATATGCGAGTATACGTGTTTCGTGTTATTTAAAAAAAAAAGGCATTATTCCAGGAGAGCTTCAATTACGAAAAAAAGGGATCTTACTATCCCTGCCAGGAGAAACGAATCGGATAAGTTGATAATTCGATGGGAAGGAAAAAAATGAACGAGAGCTACCTATTATCTCCAGGGTCGAATAATCAGAATGAGAAAGCAAATAAATCGGGCCGATTTGATTCCGTAGAAAGTGTGGGCGGGCAGAGAATCTCATTAAGGAGCACACACCCCGTGCATAGGTGCACCGGGGTGAAAGACGAGCCTTCGCTTATAGCAAGGTGCCCTCGGCGCTGTGCACGCTGCCTAATGAAGCGAAGCCGAGTTAAGCGCAGCCCTTATTTTCCAGCGTCGAGCACCATCACGGCCCGTTGGCAGACCCAGCTATATGTATACCTACAGGTACGGCAGCAAGCTGGACGAAGTCGGGACGAGAGGGAGCGAGAGAGACTACCGGAATATAAAGGCAGAGCTGAAGAGTGGCGCAGAAAATAGTGGGACGCGGCGCGGGGCCAGGGGGTGCGAGGGGGTGCGAGAGGGTGCGAAACTAGACTCCCGCCTCGGGAACTTCCCCGCGAAAAGCGTCTGCACGAGCGCATCGCTCCGGACCGTTGCGGCACTCCTGCACACCGCGATTATGCAAATAACTTCAGTCTGCTTAAAAGCCCGAGTTCTTAGACGAAGGCTCGTAAGACCCTTCCGAGGAATCGGCTGGCCGTTTCCGGCTAAAAGAAGGCTGGAGGTGGCGCCCGTATATATAAATATATATAACCCCGTCGCATCGAGCGCACCCGCGTAGAAATACAGTTAAGGGATGGAAATACTTCGCTGAAAGCATTCCCTGCGCCGTTGCGTGTCCCTTAAATACGTCATCACGGAAATACGTCAAATAAGCCCAACCTAACGGTAAATCACTGTGGAATGAACTTCCATTAAGATTTCTTATTAGAGATTGTGGCTGAGCTTAACTAGCGAGGCGACTCATTTTCTTTTATTAATTTATCAAGCCTCGAGAGACAGTGCTTGGGTATTAGGCGAGTGCCTCTGCGGCCATCTTGTTGCTAAAGACAGTGAGGAGTGGAGGAGCAGTCATTTCTAGGCAGGTGGGTCCGATCGTGTGCTGGTATGATCCTGGTATGCTTAAAGAGACAGGGAAAGAGACGGACAGATAGAGAGGGAGAGAGAGAGAGAGAGAGAGTAGTTTCACGGAACCGCAAAGCTCGTCCTACCGTGCCGGTACCCCGTTCCATTCGATCCCATGCAAAAGCTTTCCGTGTTTCCGCGCCAACAGAAGCTTTCATGCTCCCGGTACGTTCCTCGTGCCAATATCAACTGCTAACTCGACTGCGGTGCGGGCGAACCGCCATCTATGGTTGGACTGAATAAACGCAGGTCGGAAAGTCACATCCGGTGCTTTGGATGAAAAAGGACCCTGGACATCGGCCATTTTACGGGGCTTGAATGGCCTCGACCTTCGCGGAAGTTCCTTACACGCGTTCGATATAGAAGAATTTTAAAACCACCAAAACTTCCAGCAAGACCCTTGTCAAGTGGCTGTACAGAGACACCGAGTGGTGTTACGAATAACAAGGAACACGTGGTGAATAGCTATATGGAAACACACACAGCCTTTGTTCGCATCGACGCAGTGCATTCGGTATACTTGGATACAGAAAGTAACGCAATTATTTTCCACTCACCGACAATCGTGCCAACGTAGGAATGAGTCGTGTCAAAGATAATAGGTCCATCGGTACCCTCGAAGACTGCGTCCTTTGCGAAGAGATTTCCATCCCGAACCAGTCGCATCGTCCACATTCTGTAACAGATATAAGATCGCGCAAAGCGTTACAAAGGGGCCAAGGTATTGACGTAGGGTCTCAAGGGTATTACGTTACATTGAATTTCGAATTATGGTTATTACGTAACAAAGACGTTCCGCGGGATAAAATTTAATCCCATTTAATTTCAAATCCTTCCTCTATCCCGAGAACGAAAGCAGCCACAAATATTTTGACACAACGAAACGTTCGCGTAACACTATTATTACAGATCCGAGATTCAGGACGAGCACCGTAATAAGGTTGAAGAAAAATCCACTCGAACGTGCATGTATAGACATTTCACAGCGAGGCACAAAAGCCTTCCTCGGAAATTCAAAGTCATTCGATATCAAGCAGAAAAAGAAAGAGAGGAAGCGATACGCTTTAGCCGTTAATACTTTTTCCATAAGAGCGAGCACTTTTCTTTTCGCCTCGAGTCTCGTTGCTCCGCCACCCCTTTACTCGGCAAATGGACGCTCTAATGAACCGTGGCGAGAGGGCAATCGGCGTCCGCCTTCGTTTTAACGCCTCTCGACAAAGTGCTCCAAGGAAAACCAAAAGAAAACTCTATCCACGAAAGAATCGCGTGCCTACGCAATCCATTAATACGCTTGCCGCTGGAAGAATTTGAGATATAAAAAAGTCCAAAAAAAAAAAAAAAAGCGCACATCAATATTTCTCCAATTACCCCCCCTCGTGGCCGTACGGTAAAAGCATGAATTTCATTTTGGAAAAAAAAAAATGTTCATTTAAAAATTTCCACCCACGTCGCTTCTGCAGGACCTTTCGAAGTAGCTACTCTAGTCATAACAGTGTGAGTAATTTTAATCGGCCCGATCTCTTAACGGCCAGCAAGAAGCCTATTATTTAACCTTTCCCGCTGGAAGTTCGTGAGCTCGCCAGAGATCGGGTTGCCGATGATGGATGACGGGGCGACAGACAGATGGCCTACCCTCTGGCCGGTAAAAGCGTCTCGCTTGCCGGGCGCTCACGCGATGGAAGGACTGGAGGGGAAGGAAAAACAAGTCAAAGGAGAGATACACTACAGTCCACTAGCAATAAGTGGGGGGTCAGGCGGGGCGGTGTAGTAAGCAAGAGTGAACGCTCTAATTCGGGATCGATCGATTTTTCAAGAAAGGTCGCACGTCATATCGGACCCTCGCCTGGCCGCAGCCTCGTGCAATCTCCGGGTGCTCGTAAAGCTTGGCTTTCCCGCTCGTCGTAAAAACCTCAAGGAGTTACTTGGCGACGGGGCGCAACGACATCGGCAAGAGGGAGAAGGTGGCAGCCCAGACGTGCTCGCTGTAAGGTGTCCCCCCAGTGCCATGGGAATGGGTTAGGGCCGTATACACTCTCTTCGCCCAGGGTCCGATCCGCAGGTTCCCGAAGGCTCCCGAAGGCTACTGCCGTAGCTCGCTAGAGGGAAGCAGTGCCGAGCACTTTCGCAAAGACTCAACGTGCCGCTGAAGGTATAACGAAGCCCTAAGAGAGCCGCTTCCTGAGAATGGCTTCGCCATTGGCACGTGGAGGGATTTCTTGCACGCGTAAGCTCCGAGCTTATGCAAAGCTCCAACTTGCACTGACTTTACTATATATAGACGGTATAGCTTGTCGGCAGCTTATACATATAGTCACCCCATCTTCCAGAGCCTGAGGCCACCGGAAGTCTCTGAGATAGGACTATAGTTAAGTTTAACTGTACATATAGACTGTCCTCGGTGTCTGTTGAAATTTCTGTCACGTTGCACGAGATAACCTTAGCGCTCGGGTATTACGTACAATGATACGGAGATTGTTCGGGGTGTTTTCGAATTAAAAGTAATAATAATAATAAACTTGAGGCACCGAGGCGATTTAAGTGAAATTAAAAGAGACGGGTATGTCTGTCAATTGGAATGCAATTGTATATGCGTATCCAAGCAGAGTAAACCTGGTTGCGTGGTTTTCACGTTCCAGTCGATTAACGTCAGGCTAATCCGCTCGTCCGTGGCGTGACTGGGTAAGAAGTATCACGGGAGGACTGACGTTGGATTCGTTGGTAAAAAGTAAAAGTTTAATTGCCGTTCCTAGCGGCGAAAAATATCCTTCGGAGTGCAGCTTAGCGAGACGTCGGATATCCTGTTGTGGAGAATTAATGGTGGGAGTCACTCTGTTATCTAGTTCAATGAAGACTGTGAAGAGGATCGGGTACTTATGATGATCGACGATTCGTAATGCATAATGAAATAATTTTATCAATTAAGGATATCATTATTTTATTGATACCGTGATCGCGATAAATTTTTTTCAAAATTATTTAGCCTAATTAAATATTCCCAGTAAGTCTTTCGCATACGTTGGTTATATTACTCACGGAATGGTATCCCCTGGATAAATCCGTACGGTTACGTAAGTCCATGGGGTACCGATAACACGTGGAATTAATGTAGATTTTAATGGGTTCGTTAACGAGTTACCGAATCTTTTATTGGAAAATCTTATGGGGGTGAAAACCCCATACGACCGTTCCCTCGACCGCTTTACGAGTCACGTTCCTATAATCACAGCCAGGAATCTACCGCTAAAAGCCTCGATAACTAATTCCCCGCTTGGTCATGGTAAAAATAGGAAAGTTCGAGTCTCGTCGATCAATAAAATTGCGAGCGCCTAGTACGGGACACTGACATGATGCAATTACCGTTAATTAAATCCAACACTCGTACCAGAGTCAGCCGGTGTAAAATCGTTGCGTGAAAGTCCGTACGGAGCGCACGAAAGAAAAACAATGTACGTAAATAAGCCCGTAGTAATAGGAACGTCCGTATAAATAAAATAATTGTAAAACGTGACGTAAAAAAAAAAAAAAAAAAAAAATCCAAAATCCAAAATTTTTACAAGTAAAAAATTCCCCATAACGATAACCTCGTCGTTGCTAATACCAGTAGGCGATGATGCAACCGCCGCTCATTTTCCAAGACCCGCCACGTGTTCCCAAAGACATCGGTAAAAGCGAAACCCGAAAGCCGCGAGATCCGCGTCCCCGTAAAGATTTTCACTCTCCGGAGAGCCGTAACGCGCTTTACTTGGAGTTTACTTGGAAACTAGTGACTAATGTTTCCCAGGGCGTGCGTATAGACGAGGTTCTGGTCCCGCGTGCACGTGTTGCCTTCCTATACCAGAAGTGTGTTGCCAGGGTTGAGAATACGGCGGGAGATTTATAGCGACGTGAGTGTTACTACTTTCGACGGAGCAAGAGGAAAAAAAAAAAAAAAAAAAATAAAGAGAGAGAAAGACGTAAAATTTTCCACACGAGAAAGCTCGAGCTACGTGGCTGACTTTACCGATATCTCGTACACGTACAAGCTCCGTATTAATTCCTACGGGAACTTCCGACTGAAAACGCCCGAGTGTCCCAGGCAAAAGTTCGATGACAGGGAGTGCTCGAAAGTCTGACACTCGGTGCATGTCCAAGGTTATTGTTCGGCAAGTTTATGGAACGACCAACAGTTTCGACTCGAAATCGTTATCAGACCATTTCGTCGACCTGGCGTAATTCTCCCCGTTAACCATCTGCTGGCGTCCAATCGTGCCCTCCTCGTTGCACCAAGAGTCCACTTGATAGCCTGGGACACGTTCGGCTGACAACTGTTCGAGCTCTCGAGAATCGAACCGTTCTGTAGGTTGGAATTCAGTCCAGAATCGTAGGAGGTCGATGGACTCGAATTTACGGAGGCGAGAAAAAAGGTCAAATGGAAATCTTAAGTAATTCCCTCGTCGTCCCCTCTACGATACTCGGCCGTTCATTCGTATCGACACACGAGGCTGCACTTAGCGAGATTTCGCAAAGACGCGTAAAACTACGCGCACGCGTTTCTCGGCACTGTCTACGCCCTATAGAGTTCGGATATATTCTGGAAGTCGCTCGTAAATCCTTCATTAGAGATATTAAGAAGTAAGTGGGATGCGCTTGGACTGTGCTCATTCAAAATTTCTATACACCTATCACGACCATTCTAGCAAAGGAGACTCTATAGGTGAAAAAACATATACTATATATATATATATATATGTATATACACGTATATGTAAAAGCAGACAATGCCAAGTCACGCGGTTAATGTTCTGAAATAGCGAGGAAAGCCAATACCCAGAGGGTGGTCGACTTCACTAGACAAACGATATTGCCCAGTAATCGTAAGGGGTGAAACAAGAGGTTCCCCAGTTGTATAATTTAAATCTGTCTGCAACCCCAGTTACTACGCCTACACCCTCTTATCCTACAGTACACACGACCCCTTTACCCCATGTCTTTGCCCAACAACGATTTCGGCCCTGCTCCGCCCCTCGCCTGACCCAGCAAAGTTAAACTGTACCGGGCGACGGCTACGACGGCAGCCAGTGGCGGAGGGGCGGCGGGGGGTGGTAGCGACGTCGGCGTCGTTGTTGTCGTTTCAAGCAAGGGATGAAATGGCTAAAGCGTTTGTGTGCTCTACCAAGGGCGACAGAGAGAGGGAGAGAGAGAGAGAGAGAGAGAGAGAGAGAGAGAGAGAGAGCAGGATTTGTATCGTACGAAGTGCTCGGCTAATTATCGGCTAGTAAACTTTCCCACCCTTACTCGCCACCCTTTCAGCTACGTCGCCTTGGGCCAGTATCACCTCCGAGAGGAGACTAGAAATTGGATGCGTCCTCCAACAGACAAACTCGATCTAAATTAGTCTTCTGGGAATTTATCCCGACACGGTGATCATCAATTACATTGTTATACGACTGTTAAAGCGTTATCAGTGAGATATCCGATTTATCATTTATCATAACGAGCAAATTTCATGTAAGTCTGTATGAATCACGTGTTACGTTAAGGCTGTACTAGGAATGAATTTTGTATGATTGTCCTTTATTCGATATCACACGCATTGTAGTACGGCTATCGATTATTTCGTATGGTTAACCCATTGGTTTCGTATTAGATCCACATCGGTTCCTATTACCAACTAACGCCGCACCTCCTGCTTGCGTG